AAAATATGGTGGAAGACATGGATTTCATGACATGCCAGATATCGGCGATTTTATCCGCCGATCGTGGCGATCGGCGAAAATCGCAATCGCCGCACCGGGCACACTCGGCAATTTTCGCCGATCGCCGCGATCGGCTTATAAAATCGCCTGGTATGTCGCCGGCTTTAGTATCATGCACAATCTTTAGAGTCATCTTTGAACTTTTACGTTAGCACTTTTAGAAGCTAAAAATAAATTATAATAGTATGCGTTATCATCGACTGGTAAAAAGCTTTTTTGACTTTAACTCTCAAGATCTTCTTGTCAATTCTCCCCTCCCTGCTACACATTTCTTTCAAATTAGTCAGGAGAATTAATATTTACATCAATATAAAAACTTTTAGCTGATTAGTTTGGGTATTCTCATTACCTGTTTGCTGGATTCTGTATGGTTATCATAGGGAGAAATTACATGTCAATCACCCCTGAGAGTTAGAGGGTTAACAATGGTAGGACCCAAAAGAAATCCAGTTTAAGTTGATTAATTCAAAGATCTTCACTAGGAACGAATTTGTGAAAGAAAAGGATGGCTTGATCTCATAACTTTTACCAAAGCTATATATATCAGAAAATAATTATTAAAATACATTGTGTCAAAGGCGCAGAATTTGCAGCTTTGAATTTGTTTCCTTACTCGGAACTGGTCAGTTCAGACGACTACCACAAACTGTGTCATATTTATTCAAACTTCAATAATTATTCATTGTAAAGAAATGCATTTATAATTCGAAATAAAAAAAACGCAAATCAAGCCTTTATCTCAGCAAAACTCAGAAAACGTGTTTAGAAACTTACTTCTGTGGCGGGTCGTAAAAACAGGCTTCGCTGTGGATTGGAGTGTGGGAGTCATGTCTGCTGGTATTCAGTGGTTCTGAACCCACGGTCAGTTAACACCCGCGCTTTTTTCAATCCCACGATTGTTTTGTACCCAGTTGTTTTGTATCTAAATTCAGTTGATTCGTTCCTAGATTGAATCAAGTCGTACCCAAAGTGCTGGTAGATTTGTTCCCATCCCAATACACATTCATTAAAAATACCTAATGTGCGAGCACGTGAACAGATGTTGATTTTGCAAACAACATGTAAGTAGAGTCAAGCGAGTAAAGTGCAAGCAAAATTATGTTGTGTATACTTAACCCTTTTAACTAGAACACCAAATTTTTGCCTATTTGTACTTAAAGAGTCCGTTGTTTTGCTTGTGGCTTTCTTGACAATAACAGCTGGTGTAAGCGAGATTTTTCTCCCTTTGTTATTAACGGTAGTAAATTCGATTATACTTGTTTTTTCTTTTATTCTACACTTACTTTAAACATACTCCACATGGAAAACATAATTTATTAGTATAGGTATGAAACAATTTAAATGACTGGGTACAAATCGACCTAGCTAGGTGCTAAAGGACTGGGTACAAAATAACGGTGGGTATGAAACAACTTGTAACCTCTCTACTGCACCACTTATGACTTCTCACCAGAGCTCAGTTTTGAGAATTGATTTGTCTCAAGAAAGTGATTGCATCTACAGTGAATCTTACGGCTTTTTGCATTTTCACTGTATTTTAAGTGTTGATCAGAAGTTAATTACTCTGAACTAGAAGTGTTTGTTTCTAAATTTAATTTTTTCTTCTGTGGTATCGCAAGTTATACTATACGTATATATTGTATGTTCAGGAAACAGGCGACTGAGGAAGAACAATTCACATTTTGGTGGGTAAAACTGATCTGTTATTGTTGAACCTTTTCGAAACTCTAAGACGTCATAAAACATGTCGACTTCAAAAGATCAAAGAAAGGTTTGTATGGCTCATTTGAAGCTCTGTCTTACTTAGATGTCACGAGAAAATGACCATCTCAAGGAGGTGATTAAGGAGAAATGTCAACCTTCGAAGGAATGAAAAATTGGGGTCTCTTGAAATGTCCATTGTTCGGAAATTTGCATCTCCAATGTCGTTTGGCAGTTAATTATTTTGACTCGAACCAGAAGTGGCGGATTGTTATTTAGACCTTGCTCAACTTTTCCTCTTCCAGATATGGCAAAGATTACAAACAGGACCAAGAAAGAGAACAAAAAATAAGTTAATTTCCAGTCAGAGTTGTGAACAAGGAGTGCACATGCAGTGGACTAAAGGTACCAATTACATTGTGAAAACGCCTATGTTACACTATCGTGTACTGGATACTCGACAGAAAAGCCATTATGGAAATCTGGAATCTCACATTTCTCAGGTTATTTAATGTCATATATTCCCCAGATTACTTCAGATTACAAAAGAGAAGCAAAGAATAAAGAAGCCCGTCAAAGAATCAGAGGGGAAAGGAAAGGGATATTTGGAGGATATATCCATCTCTATTGCAAGACTTTGTATATTCATTGTGATAGCTTTTAGGTTTCTGTTTTCAAGCGTCTTAAACTTGTAAAGCACCGCGAAACTGGTTTCGTAAATTGTGTTGTTTAAGAGATCGGAATATAGAAGCATAAAGCGATGTGTAATGTATTTATTTATTTTCTTCATTTAATATAAAACATGTTAACTTCAAAAAACCAACGAAATGTTTGAATGGCTTATTTGAAGCTCTGTCTTACTTAGTATATGATATGCGAAGTGACCATTCCAAGTAAGTGACATTGAAGAAATGTAAAATGGTTTCCGTGTTTACATAGGCTGATGTAAACACGCGGGAGGTTGGGAGAACACGAGATAAGCGTAGGAAACCACGACGCGAAGCGGAGTGGTTTCCAGCTTATGGTTTTCAGCTATTCTTTTATAAAATAACTAATGAAAGAGGAACGAAAACCGTGTTTACACACGCTCATGTAAAATGGTTTTATGGCCGATCAGAGCGCGCGTACTATTTGAATTATTTTATAAAGGCGAATTGTCAACCTCGGAAAGAACAAATATCGGGGGTCGATACGCCACTGTCCCCCACCACACCCGCCTCTTGTAGACAATTATTTTGTATTGGAGACAAGTTCATCTGTGGTAAAACTACATCTTAAAATACATGCGTATTAAAAGACGTATGCTTATTACAATGTGTCATACCACAATGTTAAACTTGTTTCACTACATACCTGTGGTGTTCGGATGGCACGAGAAACGGAGATATATTCTTGGATTTCAACACAGAACTTTTAATAATTTCTAACATGTGTCGTCGCCATTACCGGAAGTGATCATACATCGAATCATGAACGGAAGCGAGGCTGAATTAATGTAAACGTAAATCGAATACAGCACATCTCCCCCTTTAAGATAATAAAAGAGAAACTACTTAGACATACTTGTTTCTTATCTAGCGTGAAATTCAAAATCAAAACAACGTCAATCAAATGTCCTCAAGTAATCGTCATTTTGTTAAGAAACACATCCTGGGTAGCTATTGTCGTTTGTCTCTGCACTAAGTCTCACACACACTAGAATACGCGTTCATAGTTATGACTTTCTGTCTGAGAAACCAGAGAAAATCTGGCCAGAAAGTATAACTTCACTTATGGCACATAATCCTTCAATCTAGATGAGGGCTTAGATTGACGGCCAGATCTGGTGTACACTTTTGATGTGCCAGTTCCTTCTGCAGTGTTAGCTGTTTGGGGTGAAGGAAGTTTAGGTGATGGAGGTACTGGCACCGGTGTGGGTTTGGCTGGAGCTGTAGCTGCAGCTGGGGGTGGGGGTGGTATCTTGTTGATCTGTACTCTATTCCTTCTATATGACCCAGTGTCCGTATGGATCACATAAGAACGAGGTGTGCACTTCTCCACTACTATTCCAGACTGTCCTCTGTCTTGTACCATCACTTCATCTCCCTTCTCTAAGGGAACAAGAGGCCTCGCTGAATGCCTTCTGTCAAAGTGCAGCTTCTGTTTGGTTTTGTGATTGTCTTCAAACTGACGTAGGGCATGATTCTGCACAAGGTTTGGGGACAGCTGAGACGGGGCCACCGGCACTTTGGTTTTTAGCCTCCTTGACATCATTAGCTCAGCTGGAGAATAACCATTAGCCAATGGTGTCGCTCTATACTGTAGCAAAGCAAGATAAGGATCTTGAGAGCCAGCTAGGAGACGTTTAGCTGTTTGCACTGCTCTCTCTGCTTCACCGTTGCCTGAAGCATGACCTGGGCTGCTAGTGACATGTCGAAACCCGTAATCTAAAGTGAACATCTTAAATTCCCTTGATGTATAGTAGCTGGCATTGTCAGATTTTACTTGATCTGGAATTCCGAATCTGGAAAATGCACGTTTCATCCTGTCTATGACCTCTGCTGAGGCGGTTGAACTCAGACTAGCTACCTCTATCCATCTGGAGTAGTAATCAATCATTACTAAATACAGTCTTTTATTGAGTTCATAGACATCAGTGGCTATGTATTGCCATGGTCGTTGTGGGAGCATGGTAGGAACTAGAGGTTCTGGAGGATTTTTCCTGTTAGACTGACACTTGCGACAGTTTTCAATTAACTCCTCTATATTCTTCATCATGCTTGGCCACCACACTGTGTTTCTGGCCAATGCCTTGCACTTGACAATCCCTTGGTGACCGTCGTGGATCTTATCCAGGACTTCCAATTTCATAGACGATGGTATAACGACTCGAGGTCCCATCATCAACAGCCCTTTAACCACTGTCAGCTCTGCTCTATGAGCAAAATAAGGGCTGACTAAACCCTTGACATTATGTTTTTCAGGCCAACCTTCAGCTACATAGTTCATAATTTGCCTGCATGCTTCATCCTCCTGTTGATGGATCATAATATCATCTAATTTGCTATCACTGATAGGCATTCCAGCTATGACTTGATGAGCATATAAGTTCACTTCCTCATGAAATGAATCACCTGATTTGGCTGGTGTTGGAGAACGGGATAGCGTGTCGGCAGTGTACAACAGTTTTCCTGGCACATGAACAGGTGTGAACGAGTATCTCATGAGCCTCATTCTCATTCGTTGAATACGTACGGGTAGTTGATCCAACTCCTTCGTGGATAGCAGTGGTACAAGAGGCTTATGATCAGTCTCTAGTATAATATCCTTTCCCAGAATGTAATCTGTGAATCGTTCACATGCGAAGGTACTAGCTAAGGCCTCCTTTTCAATCTGGGCGTACCTTTTCTCTACATCCAGAAGGCTTTTGGACGCATACGCCACTGGCGCCCACCTGTCACCGTGCTTTTGCAAAAGCACTCCGCCAAGTCCGTATGAAGACGCATCTGCTGACACCTTGGTCTCTAGTGAAGGATCATATATTTGCAACACTGGGCTGCTCGTCAAGCATTGTTTAATCTCTTTAAAAGCCTGTTCCTGTGCTGGACCCCAGCACCATGCACTGTGAGAGCTCAAGAGTTCACGTAGAGGTTGTGTCATAGTAGCAAGGTTGGGTACAAACTTCATGAGCTGGTTCACTGTACCCATCAGACCTCTTACCTCACTCACATTCTCTGGAGCACGCATTTTCAATATAGCCTCAACCTTCTCTGGAGAGCTTTCCACACCATTAACTCCGATCCGATGACCTAGAAAGTCAATCTGGCTTTTGCTGAATTGGCACTTATCCTTATTCAAGGTGACACCTGCTGCTTTCAGCCGTGTTAATGTCTGTACGAGTCTCTCGTCATGTTCCTCCTGGTTCTTTCCGAACACGACAATGTCATCCATGAGACATACCACACCTTGTTGACCACCTAGTATTCGGTAGATCTCACTCTGAAACTTCTCAGGGCCAGATTTGATACCGAAGGGAATTCGCTTGTATCGAAATCGACCAAATGGTGAGATGAACGTGGTCAGTTTCCTTGAATCTTCATCCAAGCAGATTTGGTGGAAGCCCGCATTGGCATCCAGTTTAGAGAAAACCTTAGCACCTCCCATCAGAGCAATTGTATAATCCACTGTGGGGAGCATGATTCTTTCTCTCTTCACTACTTCGTTAAGCTTCGTGAGATCCACACAGATCCTCACTTTGCCATTTCCTTTAGGCACCACGACCATAGGAGAACACCATTCCGATGGTTCTGTGCACCGTTCTATAACATCTAGCTCGATAAGCTTGTCAAGTTCAGCTTTGGCTAGAGGAAGTAGTGGAATAGATATCCTCCTGGGAGTCATCACACTGTATGGCTCTGCGTTTTGCTCCATCTTAATCTTATATTCTCCTTCTAGCTTTCCTAAGCCTTTGAACATTGATCCGAACTCCGCTGACTGGATAGGATCTGACGTAACTTTTCCAATGAACTTAACGACACCTAGATCTGCACAAGCGTCTCTACCTAGCAATAGAGAGCCTTTGGGGAACACATATATATCCTCTGTGATTGTCTGATCACCTTTCTTTAGTTCTGCAGTAAAGAATCCAAGAGTTGAAAGGTTGCTTTGATCTGGGCCACTAAGAGGCCTGTCAGGCTTCTGCAAAATGAAGTGTGAAAACTGTGTATCATACACAGCTTTGGAAATGACTGTCACATCTGCTCCAGTATCAACAGCAAATTTCAGGCTCTGACCTGACACCTGGACTTCCGTAAACCATGCACTCCTACGTTTCCTGTTGTTGATACTCTCAATAGAGTAACTTTCATCACTGATGCTTCCTAAGAAGTAGTACTCATCTGAGTCAGACTGCACTTCTGCTACCTCTTGTACAGACCCTTTTCCTTTACTACTCCTGCAGACCTTGCCCCAATGTCCTGGGCGTTTGCACTTGTTACATTTACTGTCTTTTGCAGGGCATCTTTCTCTGGGGTGCACCTCCTTTCCACACCACCGGCATGACCGGCTATTCGACGCCTGGGAGCAATTTGATGCACTTCTTTGCTGCCCGTTACTACGTGGTCCCTTGTCACGAGGGCCTCCTTTCCGCCTATGTTGAACTGCCTGCACTTTAGAAGTCTCTCCTTTTATATCCTGAGCCCACCTTCCAGAACATTCTTCTGCTCTACACTCATTTATCGCTTTTTCTAAAGTCAGTTCACCATCTCTCAACAGCCGTGCTCTGACCTTATCACTATTTATACCCAATACGATCTTATCTCTGACAAAATCGTCCTTTAGTTCACCGTAGGCACACGTAGACACGAGAGTGTTAATTTGTGATAAGAAATTATCGAAACTCTCACCTTCTGATTGCGTATACCTGTGAAACTTGTAACGTTCATAAGTAACATTTGTTTTCGGCGTGCAGAACCTCTGGAATTTCTCCAGAATTAATTCCGGATCCAGTTTGTCCTCTGCTGGTACATGTTCCTCCCCTTCGGGGTCACCTACAGCTGGAGCCCATGTGAAGCCATTGTAGATTTTCAGCGCCTCCTCACCTGCGTGATTTAGCAGTATAGCACTTCTCCTTTCCTTACTGGCAGTAGATAATCCAATGGCGTTCACATATAATTCGTACTGCTGCTTGAACAACTTGAAATTCTCACTTGCATTTCCCGATAGACAAAGAGCTTTCGGTGGTGGAAGATTCGTAGCCATATTTCCGCGTAATTCCTGATCACTGATCGCTAAATATCCGTTCTGGACACAGTTTATATCTTCTTGTTCACTTCTGACACCATGTGGTGTTCGGATGGCACGAGAAACGGAGATATATTCTTGGATTTCAACACAGAACTTTTAATAATTTCTAACATGTGTCGTCGCCATTACCGGAAGTGATCATACATCGAATCATGAACGGAAGCGAGGCTGAATTAATGTAAACGTAAATCGAATACAGCACAATACCTTTCAACTATACACCAAAACTAGCTGAAAGTGAAATAGATACACATTAGTCGATGGTTTAACAAATAATATGCGTGGATATTTTGCAAGTTGCGAGGTATTTTTACAAGCCACGTAGGGACTAGGAAAAATATGAGTAATGAGCAAAATGTCCGCTCCTATTATATGTGAAAACATAGAATAAGAATTTTTTATTCCACTATCATTTCATTTTCTAGTGTATTGGCTTTTAGTTTTCGAAATACTTCCAGCAACCTTATCTGAGCATTACATCGATCGATCGTTTAAGTCGTGGGCGAAAGACGAGAATATTATCCAAGTGCTCTATTTTATTCAAATTTCTTGTAAGCAGGAAAAGCGAAGTAGATAGAGAAACCGACGGGTTAAACAAGTGTACATTATAACGAACTTTCTAATATCGCGTGATGCTTGTACTCTACCTAAAGCAGTTGGTTACTAAAATATTGTATGCTCGCAAATCCTTTTGTCTCTGTGAAGGTTGTGCTATTAGAGTAGCTGTTCAGTGTACACGGAAAGAGAAATCCTAGGTGAGACTATTAATCCCAAACGTCTCACCTCCTTTTTCTTGATCGTCGGAAATAAAAAATTCTGGACAAGAATTTAATTAAGATTTTAAAAAATAAAAAAAAACGAAAAACAAAAAACTCAGAAAGAAACAAATCAAGATACACGTACCTCTTATAAAAAGTCCAAGATCTGATCAAGAGTGAGGAAGTGGTTTAACAGGTCAGGCAGACTCCATTATGGGTAAGCAACTAGTCAGACTTCTCTGATACAAAGTCCAAGATCCACTCAACGCAGCAAGATTCATCAGTCAGCAAGACTTCTCCCATATCTGGAACACAAGTCAGTCCTGTTCCCGAAATAGTTTTCACAAGCTTCTCCTTTTTTGGGTGGACCAAGTCTTAGCATCTCAGATTAGAACTGAGGAAGAGACTCTGTGGGTGAAGCCAAATCCATTGTAGGTCAGATTCTAGGCACTCATCTCTTGTACACAGTTCAAGATCTGTTTAGTGCAGAAAGACAGTCCTGTTTCCAAAATAGTTTTCACACTCTTCTCCTTTTTTTAGTGGACCAGGTCTTGGCATCCCGGATCAAGACTGAGGAAGAGACTTTGTGGGTGAAGCTGACTCCATTGTGGGTCACCTTTTAGTCACCCATCTCTTGTACACAGTTAAAGATCTGTTCAGTGCATCTCAGATCAAGACTGAGGAAGAGACTTTGTAGGTTACTAGGGTCACTCATCTCTTATACACAGTTAAAGATAGATCTGTTTAGTGCAGCAAGACAGTCCTGTTTACAAAATAGTTTTAACACTCTTCTCCTTTTTTGGGTGGACCAGGTCTTAGCATCAAAGATCAGAACTGAGGAAGAGACTTTGTGGGTGAATCTGACTCCATCGTGGGTCAGCTTTTAGTCACCCATCTCTTGTACACAGTTCAAGATCTGTTCAGTGCAGCAAGACAGTCCTGTTTCTGAAATAGTTTTCACACTCTTTTCCTTTTTTTCTTTGGTGGATCAAGTCTTAGCATCTTAGAGATCAAGACTGAGGTAGAGACTTTGTGGGTGAAGTCAACTCCATTGTGGGTCAACTTTTAGTCACCTGTCTCTTGAACACAGTTCAAGATCTGTTTAGTGCAGCATGACAGTTGTTTCCGAAACAGTTTTCATGCCTTTCTCCTTTTTTTGGTGGACGAGGTCTTAGCATCCCAGATCAGGACTGAGGAACAGCCTCTGTTGTGGAAGCTGACTCCATTGCAGGATAGCAATTAGTCACCCATCTCTTGTGCACAGTTCAAGATCTGTTCAGTGCAAGGGGTTGGGGATAGCTGCAAAATAAAGAATGCACATACTTGTTTTACAACCCTGTACTACATGACAACAGAATTGAGCTCCCATAAAACAAAACTAACTAAAATAACTGTTTTCACCAGAATCTCTTCTTTGTCTTGAAAAAACACAAGAAATTGAAAAGGACCATTAGAATCAATTGTCTAATTATGATTTATAACAGGTATTTATATCAGGATGAATTTAATTATTTCAAACATTTGTGGTTCAAATATTCTTCATCTGGAAATCTTGATTCATTCTAAAAAAATATCCAGCTTAGTTTAAGTTCATGAAACACTGTACATAATTTGACTTTTAATCAAAGCCTATTAGGTTTGAAAGCCTAAAAAAAATTTTCTTCATCTTTTAGCATAATGCTGTAACTTAAAAGTTAGAATGTCATTTTGCATTCCTCAGAACAGTCAACTCATTTAGTAAACATGCTTAGCCTGGATATCAGCAGAGTTCTTTTGTTTAGCTTTTTATATACATAAAACAAACAAACAAAAAAGGAACTAGGCTAATCCTAATATCTAGCCATTGTGATCAATAAAACATCGTCAAAAGAAAGCCAGCTGTCTTAGTAGCACAGTAAACCCACAAGAGTTGTTTAATATGTTTTCTTTGTTTTGACTGTATTCTGCCTTTTTTTGAGACTCCGAGTACATGTTGTATTAGCCTTATTAGCATATAAATGTTTCTCACTTAGGCAGTAAAACCTTTGCCATGCAATCTTATCAATCAATGTCGAGTCACAAACTCGAAGTAAATTTACACTGATACTGAGGCTGATGCTTTACCTCAAACAAATGCACTTTCTATGGAATGCATTTTAAGTATCAGAAAATTGTTTGCTAAAATTGTATAGGGGTTCATGGAAGCCTCTAGCCTTCTTCTGCCTTATACAGCTAGTTTGACCTAACAATAATCTTATGCTTCAAGAAATTTAATTTTAGAATCAAGCATGCAGTTTTCTGGTTGCTCATTCAAACTTGTTTGACAGTACTTGTTTAAAATTATGTTGTCTCATACATGGGGATGTGCTGCTGGATAGGGTTACATTTTCATGTCTTAATTGACTATAATGAGGTTACATTTTGAATAGAGTAGCTTGAATCGGGTTGCACACTTTCAGGATTTATGTCTTAAAGGCGGTAAGAAATAATAGGAGGATTAGTGGTTAAAAAGTTCTTCTCTTATTTAATGCTGTTGTTTGATATTTAATAATTGTCTCCATGGGAGGATGATCTACTTAAAGGGCTTTATAAGGTAGATGTATAAAAAGAAACAGAAGGTGACTAATGACAATACTTTATTCAAGAGAAGGAAAATGAAAAATTGTAAAAGTATCACTCGAAAGGGGATATTCTAGAGGTTAACCCTATACAAAAGATTCCCCGAATAAAAAGACCAAAATATTATATACAGATAATTAAAAACTGTTTACCATCATCTCAATCAATATTCATGTAAATCTTTAGTCTGTTACGAAATAAAGTTAATGATCCTGCGTGTACAATATCTTTAGGCAAATTATTCCACATATTAACGATCCGTACAAAAAAAGAAAATTTGCAGCAATTTACGATAGCTATTTTTACGTAGAGCTTATAATCGTGATTGGCTCTAGTTCGATTACATTTAGTAAGTTCAAAAAAGTCCGAAAAAGGAAGACTATCTATTCCCAGAACTATCTTGTAGCACTGGATCAGAGATAAAAACTCTCTTCGTTTCTCCAAAGTTTGCCAATTCAGTAGGCGGCAGCGGTCTTCATAGCTCATTTCTCCGCGTTTTTGCTTTAACGCCAACCGAGATGCCCTTCTTTGGACTTTTTCCAAGGATTCGATATCCTTTTTTTGGTAGGGGCTCCAGACGGGGACAGCGTATTCGAGTATAGGTCTTACTAACGACTTAAAGAGGCAGGAAAACGCATAGCGATTATCGTTTCCAAGTGATCGCCTAATTATACCCAACACTTTGTTCGCCTTGTTTACTATGTAGGAAACGTGTTTACCCCAAGATAGATCGTAGTTTATTGTGACCCCTAGGTCCTTGGCACTGTCGACAGATTTTAGTTGCGTACCAAGGGAATAACTTGGCTTGGATCTGTCTCTACTGTGCGTTACACGCATAACTTCACATTCTTCAGGATTAAAGCGCAACTGTCACTTGTTAGCTCAATCGCTTAATTTGTTCAAGTCCAGCTGTAAGGCTGGTATATCCTTATCAGGCTCCATGATCTTGCGATAGATTTTAGTATCATCAGCGTAGATTTTCACGGTTGATGTAATGTTTGCCGAAATATAATTTATATAAATAATAGATAGGATTGGGCCGAGTTAGGGAACAGATGACACCGAATATGAAGAAATGTTTCCAAGCAAATGCTTCCTCTTTGCTGGCCTCTATTTGAGGAAAGATGGGCGTGGAATTAAAAATATCCCAAAGGTTTTTACAACATGCCTTGAAACTTAAACTGTTGTGGTATCCTCTTCAATTCATTACATAAATATAAGATAACTAGATCTAAAACTAGTCGCCGAATCCAGAGAAAATCAACAAAATCCTCCCAACCCCTCCCCGGACAGGCAGCTGCTTTCGTTACAAGCAGTGCACGAAAACGTCAACAATAACACAAGTTAAAAAATCTACCGCCTACAGATCAATTTTTTTACGCTAATCTCAAACGTGGTCACTCTCTTACAACAGGTTAGGGGCACTTGAGTCTACCCAAACCAAATGTCAAATTTGAACCTGGATATTAAAATTAGCAGTCTCATGCAAAAACAAATAAGAGAAATGCGCTGACGAGTTTCGAATTCAAAATTAATCTTTAAATAGTCGGTTATTTATTACGAGTTCCACATAATTTGCAATGTAAGCAAATTCAACAG